GTGTGGACACTGATGGGAAGGCCAGGGAGCTGGCCAAGGCAGGGGAGTGGCCAATCAGGTTTCTCTTCTCGATGTCCAGCCGTTTCCCCTCCTGCAGGACCCATCCCGTTCCTTTGCTTGGTGCCAGGGAATTCTCTCTCCCTCCATCCCCTCCACTCTTACCTCCTACTGGCACTGCTCCCCGCTTCCCCTTCTCACTCTCCTCTCTCTCTCTCTCTGTTATTTCTTTTTCTTGCCACCCTCTTTGAGAGCGCAGGCAGTTCCCAGGTCCTGAGGGACCCTACCCTCAGATTCTGCATCAGCAGTGGGGGTGTGGACGGTGGGGTTTGCTTTCCAGCATTTTCTTCCATCCAGAGAGCGGTATGTTTTGACTTTATAGGTTGAACCCAAAGATTAAAAGGGGCTGAGAGCTGAGGCACCCTGAGCGCCACCCACCACCGGGAGCCCCAACGTGGGAACCATAACAACAAAAATTACCAGATGTAGGGTCTGAAGGCAGGTGATTCAGAGAAGAATGGGGGTGGGGTAGGATTTGAAAGCCAACCTCAAGTTCTCTGGAGATGATGGGGAGGACAATACAGGACATTCTGTAAAACTGCCGAGGTTGGGCCCTAGAGAAGACCCCTGATCACAAACACCAGGAGGCGCTGTGTGCAGTCCTCAGGCCAATGAGAAGAATCCCCTCAGGACATATTTATGGGGAGAAACTCTCCTTTGTTTGGTGCCACAGGCTCTGCTGGGCAGTCCTTGGTGAAGGGGGGGTGGGGGAGATGTGTCTCCCAGGCTTCTGCCAGCCTGCATGCTGACCGGGTCCTTCAGTGATGCTCCTTCTCCCAGCTCCCTCCCCTGGCCAGGTACTGAATCCCAGTTGCAGGGCCCCTTAGGATCATCTAATCTAAACCCCTTATTGTACAGATGGGGAAGCAAGACCCAGTGAGGTGAGGTGACTTGCCCAAGGTCACACAGAGCCAGGGCAAGCTCCTAGATTTCCTGACTCTCAGGCAAGAGTTGTCCTTTGTTCATATGACCCTCCCCCTTCCCCTCATCCCTGGGAGCCCTGAGACCATGTGTCTTGGTGCCCACATAACATATGGCCTTGGCAGAGCTCATCATTGCCAGGTGAAGGGGCAGATCTAATAGCCTGGCCCAAAGGGCAGTGCTTGGCCTGCAGGGCTCCTGGACACCAGCTGTTGCAGAGAAGCCTTGCCCCAGTCCAAGAACCTGGTCGCCAGAGCAACACATAGTCCTGTGCCCCTCCCCAGGGAGAACCACCAAAAGGGGCTCTGCTGGGTGGAGGGAGGGAGAGCCCTGGAGCCAGATGGCGCCCCAGAAGCAGGTGGCATATTTGGCTGCTGTCTTCTGTTTCTCTCTACAACCAGGGCCTCTCCCCTCCCACCTGCACCATTTAGTCCCTGCGAGGAAGGCAGATGTGACTGTTCATTCATTCTGCCTGCCTCCTGCTCCCACTCTCCCTCCCCACTTTCTCTGTGACACCCCCCCT